TTCTTAAAATTATTTAGTTTAAGAAATGCCTTTGTGGAAATTTAATATAGTTATTCATCATATTTTCTCGTCTTTACTTCATCTCCACTGCGGCCACCCTATATAATTTGCGCTATTTGTTGTTGTGTAGTTGGATTTACCAATATTGCATTTGTTGGAAACATTTTTACTTCTAGATGATGTAGGTTGTACTTTATTATTTCCAACACCATGACTTAATGATAATCGTATTACAGATTTAGAAAGGACAGAATAACCACTCATTAGGTTAGGTTAGTTAGGTATGTAATTAGTATTTTAATATAGTGAGAAAAATATTTACTTAAAATAACCCTTAATATGAACTGCTGCTTACACAAAAATGCGATTTGCTGACCATGTCGTATTGGGAAAGAAAGGATTTGCCCTGCTGCATTAATGTAAAGTAAATTATTATTATGTAAATATACATATTTTCAAGATCTATTTTGCTTTAACTTTAAGCAACAAATCTACTCTGATTATCAATTTTCGTGTACCGTTACTCACACATTATGTGTAGTCGTAGGTATACATGGTAATTTGTAGTTCTTAAAATGACTTAATTTACAATGCAAGTCAGCAATGTCAGTAGATGCAGTACCGACTACACAACAGCTAGAATATTTATTTTGATAAGTATTAGCAGGCACTTGTGTTTACACTAGTTTCACCAACGGTGTCAGTTCGTTTGTATCATTTCTCGAGCTAATAGAATATGACACGGATGTAGTAGGTACACGGTGATATACGGGTAATATGTTTGTATATATGTTATCTAAACAGACTTAAATTACTTGAACTCATAACACATACTTCCAATATGCAGACATTACGTTCATATGCTTTAATGAAATGGATTCTAATCATTTGAAATCGTGGTACATATATCTCCACTTCTCTTTTCTTTTGAAACAAAGCTGACAACGCGACTACATCGTGAAATATTCTTAATTTTACTCACGTTCTTTGGCAGGATCGCCATTGTGGCGTTTGTTGGGGGTTGGTTCAATAAAACACTGTGTGTTGCTTCACGTACACGTGCGATACACGCCCGCTCACACCACTGTCTCGTGTCGTCATGACGGGTAAGGCGGGCCGCAGTGTGACATATATTGTCTATTGTCTATGGTACATTATGTCAATACACAACAAATATCAAACACGAAAATTAGTTCATTGTTGTTTTCATTGGCAATTGAATAACTACGGTACACTACGCTATCTCCAGGAATGTTTTCTAAAGATAAATTGTAGAAACTCAAATGTTTACCATGAGGACATGCGGTGGGTTTATCGAGACATTGAAGCTTGATGCAAAATAAGGCACAGAGTGCTAATTTAGAGTTGTTACTTTTTTCCAAATAACCTGAAGAAATAACTAGTGGAGTAATTTCACAAAAAATAATTGAATATCATAGTAGTGAAACATCCAGACATTCAATAAAATTTATTTACAACCTGAAGAAAGTTCATGTTACCAGGAAAAGGCTTCAAATCCTAAAGAATAGTATTTTTCTACAATTTCGTAATTTTTTGCAGGTTTAATTTTAATATTATCAATGGCAGGTTTCAATGCCAGATCAAGGAATCAATATCAGTAATGTTGTCATTTGGGCACTTTGATCTGCAGTTCTCTTTAATAATCCTCCAACTCCTGAGCACCCATGCCATGGCCACACTCGCAATAATTGCGGGTGCCCCGGATGGAGTTGGAGGATTTTTAAAGACAACTACAGATCAATCAGTGTCGTTTGGAAATGACATTTATGGCGTTAAAGAGTGAATATCTCATGCGTAAATTTTGCGAGTCCAGGCTGAGAAACCAGGTGTAAAGTGAAATAATATTAATGATTATTTTTTATAGTTTAATTAGATGTAAAATGAGTTTAGGGCAAGAATTTCAAAAAATTCATTGTACAATAATAATTAATAAAAAATATTAAAGTCCTGATTTTCAATTGTGCTGGTGTGTCCACTTTCTGTTTCATTGTATAAAATAGTCGTTCTGGTAAAATGTATACGCTTTTAAGAAAAACAATTCCATCTATGTTATTCACTATTAGAAGCACTAACTAAAATCATTGAAAGTGTTGCAATTACCCGTATGTGGGAGACTGGGTACTTGATCAAACTTTGTCCACGCGAAAATTGTAGTTTTGGTGGCAAATATTCAACTGGTTGCAACTGGTAAGTAGTTTAACTAAAAACCATTACGTTCTAGCCTCGCGCAAGCCTCAGTTGTGTATTAGGACCTGGCGAGGAAAAACATGGGCACTGTGTTCTATTTCCCGCCAAAAAAGTAATTGTATGCTCTTTGGTGGCACGTGGGACAAAAAATATTCAGCTTTCCTGGCTCCATTTGGGCTCAATTTTTGTTTTATCCTGTGGTCGTATTCTGAAACCAAATTAAGAGACAAATTTTGTCATTATTTTATCACAATTTAATCGACTCGGTTTGATTTTTAAGCTTTTACTTTTTTTCCCATAATTTATTTTTGGAGATTTCATCTTACATGGCTCAAATTTGGTGGTTTTGGTGGCGTTTGTGTTACCACCTTAACTTAAAACGCCACCAAATTTTAAATTATGATATTTTATAATATAACGTTCACTTTCGAAAATTGTTTTAAAGTATTGTGGTTTATTTGTCCCAATAAACTTAAGAAAGATAGTGTTATTCATAATTTTTCAGATAACCAAAAATTGCTTAAGTGCTTTTTGATCTATTTATACCTTAGCGATCTTTTAAATTTGTATTTTACTTAAATTAACGGTGATATCATTGATTAAATGATATTATTGAGAACGTCAAACACGAAAATTTAGTTCATTGTTGTTTTCATTGGCAGTTGAATAACTACGATACACTACGCTATCTCCAGATATGTTTTCTGAAGATACATTGTAGAAACTAAAATGTTTACCATGAGGATATGCGGTGGGTTCATCGAGACATTGAGGCTTGATGCAAAATAAGGCACAGAATGCTAATTTAGAGTTGTTACTTTTTCCAAATAACCTGAAGAAATAACACTTGGTACAATTAACTAACTAACTAGTAGAGTAATTTCACAAAAAAAAATTGAATATCATAGTGGTGAAACATCTTGACATTCAATAAAATTTATTTACAACTTGAAGAAAATTCATGTTACCAGGAAAAGGCCAGTCTTTTTCTACAATTTCGTAATTTTCTACAGGTTTAATTTTAATATTCTCAATGGCAGGTTTCAATGCCAGATAAACGAATCAATATCAGTAATGTTGTTACCAAATGACACTAAGATCTGCAGTTCTATTTAATAATCCTCCAACTACTGGGCACCCTTGCCATGGCCACACACGCAATAATCGCGGGTGCCCCAGGTAGAGTTAGAGGATTTTTAAAGACAAAATAGATCAATCAGTGTCGTTTGGGAATGACATTGCTGACATTGATTCGATCATCTGGCGTTAAAAGCTACCGGTACCAATATTCAAATGAAACGTGTACATTACGAAATTGTTCATAAAGACTGGCTCATTCTTTAGTGAATAAGAACATGAATTTTCTTTAGGTTATTTGGAGAAAAAGTAATAACTCTAAATTAGTACTCAGTGCCTTATCAATACCATCATCTGATGATGATGAGATGATGGTGTTTCAGTTGAACTACTCAAAGCAGGAGGAAATTCTGTGGTAAAAGTGCTTGTGTAACTTTTCAACAAAGTTCTTCGTGAAACTCGAACACCAGAGCAATGGAAGAATGCCATCGTCACCATCATCCACAAAAAATGATACATTGCAAAACTTAGCAATTATCGGCCGATTAGCTTGCTCTCTCAGATTTACAAACTTTTTACAAAGATTTTGACGCGCTTCGTCAAGTTCATGGGTAAACCCTTGAACTTGACGAAGCGCAGCCTATTGAGCAAGCTGGCTTTCTAAGCGGCTTCTCAACCATCGACCATATCCACACGGTTAATCAGCTGATGGGGAAATATCTCGAATTTAACCGGCCCCTTGTCATGGCCTTCGTCGATTATGAGAAGGCCTTTGACCGTATCAACATTGGGCCGTGTTCCACGCT